TATCTCCAAAAATTAAAAATTTGATTGGTGTGTAATGTTACACCCCCGCATTCCCCGCATCGAATTTTCAACACTGAGGGTTACGACCTTTTCACGTCATAACAATAGGTTACAACTCAACAATATGTTTGCACCCTTACATCTTTAACTTCTTTTGGTAATTTTATCTATAAAAAGGGATTTGTAGTTTCACAAAATGATCGTGAAGGGTACCAAGAAAAAAAAAGTCACAACGTATTGTAACGCTTGTGCATCTTGATCGCATGATTTTTAATTTTTCAATCCTTTATTAACGAAACAAAAATAATATGCGCAAAATTGCTTTGCAATTCAATTCAAGCAATTGCAAAAACAATATTTATAAAACAAACCATTTACCGTACGACAAATTTTCGCTAAAAATGGTGAAACCGTTGATCGCTCCAAAAACCGAAAAAACCAGGCATGGCTATACAGGACCCCGCAAACTATATAGATAGGTTACATACAAAAATTACGGTTTGGCCCACGTTGTGATTGGCTTACTGGAGACAATATTTCCAAATTTGGTAATTTTTCACCAATATTACATTTCTAATAGTAGAAATTTTAAGTCTTTTACTATAAGACTTGACCCAGCTGTGGCAGTAACCTATCTATATAGTTTGCGGGGGTCCTGGCTAGACGTAAAAAGAGACAATGGACAAAGAACCTGCACGAAAATCGCACGACTTGCGGGTTTTGGAAGAGGATTGTGACACGGCAAATGGTTGTTAATTAATTAGTATGGTTCGAGTCATCTATCTATAAAACGTCACAGCCCGAAATTTAAAATTTTAAAAGATTTTTCTAATTTAAGTAATGAGATTTCTTTTGAAAAAATTTTCTGTATCACGAAAAATTTTTAAGCCTTTTAGGAGATCACAACGGAACATCTCCTATTACTATTACTATTACTATGCAATGATTTCGAAATCCTTTATAATCAATCATCAGATGTTAGTTGTTTGTAGCAATTTTTACAAGGGTAATATAAACAATCAGTAAGCGAAACACACAAGCTTTCTAATTCTTGAATGGCTGTTCAGATTGGTTTTAACGTTCTAGCTAAAGCATTTGTATCTTCGAAAAAACCTCTTCGTCGAAGGATATTTTTTACAGCATCATTTGAAATAATATCAAGATTGGAATAGATTATATTTATTAAAAAAAGTTAGAAATAAAAAAATGACAATTAAAAAACATTATACAACATATGAAATATTAGTTTACTTCTTGTAAACATGGCTGTAGTCTTATGTAGAATCATGTGTAGTAACCCATCTTGCGGGCACATATTATTTCGAATCACCATTTTGTATTGCTTTTTTCTTTAATGAGTTGGTTCAAGTGATTTTTTGCTATGTAAGACTTTTTAAAAAACTTAACAACAATGCTTGCTCTTCTAGTTAACCACTCCACAAATCCATGTTTAATTACATCTTTTGAAATTAGATTAAAACAGTGATTTATACATCTCAAATTAATATATGTTTATATTTGTTCTTGGCTATTGTTCTTGCCAAACTAACATTGGCGCCTGAATCTGATAAAAGTGCAACAATTCTTTGTGGTCCAATCTTGATCATCACATTTTCAATTTTTTCTGTGATAATTTCTGCTGTATGTCTTTCGGAAGACAAATCTTCTAACTTATACAAATACTCTTTTTTATCAGAAGTTGTAACGACAAAATTCCAAATGGACAGACCATTGGGGCTACCCCACACATCAAGGCCTATGATGATAAATTAATTGTGAGATAATTAGATAATTAAATAAAAATTAAAAAAAAAAAATTTATGACACTTACTTAATGCATGTAATTTTCCAATCTTTAAATTAATACTGTCGACTTCAATATTTAAGAGATTTGCAGATGAAACATCAAATGAAGAAGGTTGATGTCCACCATTAAGCTGATTTAACAACTCTAAAATATGGATTTTTAATCGCTGAAAAAGGAATGTCATATTACAAATGCCCTTAAAAGAGAACGATCAATTTCTTTTTTGCCTAATGGTAAATTAATTTTATCATAAAAATCATGCAATGTGCTGTCAGCTACTGATCTTGGTCTTTTAGTAATCTGATTTCCATTATTGTCATTGTCATAATCATCACTACTTTCATCAAGAGGCGAAGATCCATATTCTTTTTAAAAAAACATTTAAAACTATGTTGTGAATGTCATGAGAAACTTGTAGACAATTATTAGATAGATGTGCAGTCATTCTTTTGGGTTTTCCACGATTCCAAACTCTTTTGCAAAAATTACACGTTGCTTTGTAATGACCATGACCTGTCTGTCACTTCTCCAATTTTGAAGTAGTTCCGGACATAAGAAAATTGTCTACTTTTCTTTTATTTAATGACTTTTTATTAGATGAACTTGAAGGGAAAGAACTATTGTTGATTTGGCTAGAAGGAAAAGAGCTATCTTCATTCTCATCAGGAGGAAAGGAGTTGTTTTCAAGATTAATGTCATTGATGCTATTTGTCATATTTCGTGAGAAATATAATTGATGAATTTAATTGGTCAGTCGTTCGTGAAAAATAAAATTTGCAATTAATTATGTATCTGCGGCAGTCGTAATTATTTTATAATGGTAGCTACCATTACCGCAAATAACCAATTACGGCAGGTGTCTTTAATCATAATAAAGGTGGCGGAAATGAATGAATGATCTTTTCTGGTGCGTCGGTCGTGAATTCCATCCTCCCGCACGGGTCGAAATTCATCACCATTAATTATGGATACCATATTCGTACTTTCTTCATTCCACCATCAAGTTGAGTAATACAAAGATCAGAAAATGAATATCATGTAGTTGCAAGATAAAATGACACATACTTTGATGAACAATTTATCGTCAATTCTCCCGGCTTGGAAAATTTTGCGAATAGCTTTAGGAACCTTCTCACTTTTGTTAACTTTAATGGGTGGCAAACCTATTTCTATAACATCTATATCATTTTTTGACGTCTCTTCCATTGCAACTTAAGATCTTTTTCAATTTGAGTAATAATCTAAGAACAATGAGTTGTTAGCCATAATTCATTTATGTCCCAAAGAAATACTTTAAATACATTGGACTCTAGCATGGTGGACATTCTTTGTTGTCATAATCAACAAAACAATTTTATCACCTAATGTAACGCAAAATTAATTATTTTTGATTGGCTAAAACAAATAAATATAATTAACTAAAAATGATGAAAATTGTATATTGCCATATTTAATTTTTGATCTAAACTTCTATCAATATTCAAGTCATTACCAAAGTCATTAAAAGAAACATCATCTACTTCATTTTCATTTACTTCTACATTTAAATCATCTTCAAGTATTGATGCAATTATATTTTTTAATCTTTCATTATATGAATTGCTTAAATTTTATAATCCATTTATAAAATATTCAAGGCAATGTTGACATCTAAAATCCAGTTTTTGAAAACATTCATAATGATATGCATGACCGCATATCAATACACAATCATTACTTTGATTTTCATTTTGTTTAATATTGCAATGTTCATAATCACAAAAGATCCTAATATTGGGTATGATATATATCCTGATGGTAATGCTTTCATTTGAACCTCAATATTAAAAGTATATAATAAATAATTTTTCTGCTCACTTGATGGAGAATTAATGTTATCTGAATTTGCCCAAATTTTTTGAAAAAAATCCAAGAAAAATAATGCAGATTTTTTTGTCATTGTATCAATTTTTTTTTTGTATATGGATATTTTTTTGTTAATAAAAATGGTTTTATAAATTCAGAATCATGTCTGTTATTGTCTACATTAATAGCATCATCTCTTAATCCTTCTGGATTAAAGTTTTTTCATGATGTTCTTTGATGAATCAAACTATGAAAATTTTCTACAAAATATTCTATGTTCTTTACAAGACTTTGCATTTTTGTTAATGAAAATGAATAGTTAAAGCTATCTAATTAATAATATCAATAACAAAAAATAGTACCTGTCCACTACTTGAATGACCACTAACACTAAACTCATTCGCATTTCCTGAAAACATGGTTGCCATTATTGGATAGATAATTGGAAAAATAAATGGTAAATCTTGATTTTATCTCTTATATTCTTGCGTTATTATTGGCCAGTTTGATGATTCAACAAAAAACCACGTGATATTTAAAAGTTTAAAAATGATTTTTATTTTTTTTTAAAAAAAAGCAATACATGAAGAAAGTAACTATACACGATCAAATTCATTTATTATAGCAAATATTTAAAATTATATGATTTTTAATAGTGTTTTCTCACTTCTTCTAAATATATATATATATATCAAATAGTATTATTAAAGGTGTCTAATTATTGACTATTTTTAAATAAAGTGACCATAGTATCTGTTTCTCGATTATTCAATTTAAGCATCTCATTTCTGACATCAACACAAAGCTCTGGCGTATCTTTATATAGTTCCATTACTGCCTTTTTACAAACATCGATTTTCGCCGGTTGTTTGCCTGGTTTATTATCAGAGACCCACTTTTTCTTGAGGAATTTAAGTTGACAAGACCAAGTGTTTGCTTTTTTCTGATTTTTAAACGTGAATCTTGGATATTTTTCAGGCTTGAGCTTCAAATCAATTGATTCGATGAGTGAAATCGGACTAATGTATTTGAATACATCCTCGTTAAACTCATCGTCAATTTTGACTCTTTTTGTTGATGGTGCTACTCGAGGTTGTCTTAGTTTTCTCAATTTCCTCCTTCTTTTTTTAGCTCTGTTTTTTTCTGTGTTTGTTCTTTTCTTAAGAATACGACGTCTAGTAACACCAGCAGGAGTAGTTATAGTTCTAGCAGTTCTAGCAGTACCGGCAGTAGCAGTGGTATTAGTGGTAAGTCTAGCCGTTCTAGCAGCACCAAGAAGACCGACAATAGCGGTAGTTGCAGTTCTAGCCGTTCTAACAGCACCAACAGTACTAGCAGTAATTGCAGGTCTAGCCGTTCTAGCAGCACCAGCAGTAGCAGTAGTGGTAAGTCTAGCCGTTCTAGCAGCGCCAACAGTACCAGCAGTAGCAGTAATTGTAGGTCTAGCCGTTCTAGCAGCGCCAACAGTACCAGCAGTAGTGGTAAGTCTAGCCGTTCTAGCAGCGCCAACAGTACCAGCAGTAGCAGTTCTACCCGTTCCAGAAGCAACGCCAGGAGTGGCAGCAGTGGCAGGTCTATTTGCTGTCATTTTTAATGGTAATTAATTAATACTTTTAAAAAGAATATTATTTGAGAAATTATTGTTTTTTTTTTTTTTTAAAAAAAAAGTTTAAAAAAAGTTATTAAAATTTATTTTGTAAATAACCCCAAATCAAAGATAGATAGACACATGAGAAAAGTGCCCCCAAAATTATATATAAACAATTTTCACGATCAATTTTACTCGATTAAGAATTTAAGTTTAGAAGACACGTTGCATAACAATCAAATTAAACAATCACGATTTGACGCCAACCTCGGATCTTACTTAAATAAGCAAATTTATCACGAACATTTTAATCTAAAATATCTAATATGGTGCAACTGAACAAAAAATTCAATGTTAAAAAAAAGTTGACCGATTAAAAGAAAAATCATCACCAGATTTGGACATTTAGTTCAAATTTTTTTAAAACAAAAAATGACTCGTAGCACCACTTGTTTCGTTTAAAGAGTGATTTACGTTTGTCAATAAAACAGCACGGGAAATAAAATGTTTTATAGAAATTACTCATTATCATTATCACGCTCATATTCAGAACGAACATACAGAGCCAATAAAACTCAACTTTCATTAAACAGGATTTTTTTGGGAAGAATGAAATGAAAAAACAAGGTGCTTCTTATGATTAATGAAAATTATTTTTTCATGATTGAAAAATTCGACATGCGCGAGAGATTAATTATTAAAGGATCTTTTCTTACAATTCGTTATTGATAGTAAAGCTTGAATTCGGATATTCATATTCATATTCGGATCCAAGTTCTAATTGATAAATAGATATTTAATCTTTTTTATCTACACTCACCTACCGACCACCCAAGTTGTGTAACGTCAAATGAAAAGAGTCCTTACTAAAAAAGTAACTTTTTCTTAAATAAAACCCTTTTTACTTTACTAAGTGGACTTGTACTTGATATCAAAATCTCTAAATTACAAAAGCTTCGAAAGGTTTGGTATGGTATTAATGGAAATATTTAGCAAATAGTCCAAAAAAGCAAATTTTCAATCGGAATCTTTACATGTCATTTTTTTGTTAATTTGAAAAAATCCCTGCTAATTAATTTTAGTAAAAACATGTCCTGTATAGTCACAAACATTATAGTCACCAAATTCTTGAAATTTCACTATGGTCCCGAGGTGTGTGACTATATAAGAGTCTGACTGTATATAAAACACTTAATAAAGTTGACAAAATGCAAAATTTAAGGCTTTACGTTTTGTTGTCTATACTTGATCAAATTTTCTCAAATTTTAACCATATATAATTCAAGATATTTTAAGCGGACTTACTTAATGACGTAATCCATGATTCAATTGAGTTTTGAAGGTTTTTACTAAGCTCTGTACATCACAAAACAAGACAATGCTTAAGAAAAAACCTATATCCGAATCTAATATAGTCAGAACTCATTAAACTGAAGTCTATGTTTTCACAAAAATAAAGTTCATCAATCATTGATTGCTATAAAGCATTCACCTGTGCTGATAACCAGCGTATGATCCACAAGAACTCCCTCCACCTCATATTTCACCTTAGAGTAGAAAACATACAATCATCCGACCTCCAACTCTGATGGCAGGAATCGCACATTCATACAATGCTGAGATTGATAGACACACTGGTGTTATTACAAAATTCACTACATAACAGAAACATTGACAATTGTAATTTTTTGGATTTGATGAATAATATATATACACAGCTAGAGGATCGTTACAATTACTGGTTAACTAAAACAAATGAATTTATGCCTCTCCTTTATGTTATTTTAGCACATTAGATAACGTTAATATAGTCAGGCCTTGTCACAACAGACTATAATAATAATTAAATTCTTGTCATAACGGATTTTTAAAATTTTTGCTTCACATACACATATTGATATAAAAACATAAAAACCCGTTGTGGCAAGATTAGCAATTACAATTACAATTACAATCTTGCAACGAACGGATTTTAAATAAAATTTTCTTATAATTATGTGTCCTGTTTATCCGCTATGATAATGTTTGACTGTATCAAGAAATCCGTTATATTGATAAGAATATTATTATTACTACAGTTTTAGTTTATTATTACAAACCTCAATCCATTAATACCCATTAAATCGAGGTACATTAAATTGAGATTTACTGTGTAATATAAATTTAATATGACATTAAAAAAAAAGGAAATTAGGAATTTAACTAGAACTATCAACTGCACATGTCCAAAATCCCAACTACAACTTACTATAAAAGAAACAATAAAATTAGTCCTTGTGCTCAATGTTGTATCAAGATGAGTAGGTTCTATAAAAATTATAGAAATTACCAAAATTCAAATCGAGTGGAAAGTGAAAGAAACAGGCCGAGAAGAAGAAGAGTTGGAAGATTGGCGAGGAGGAAGAAGAATTAGAAAGAGAAAAAGAAGTTGTTGTTAAGTATATCAATATAATTGGATTTGGTGTGAAATCAATCCTCTTGTCGATCTAATCAGTCCTGACGAAAGAAAGAAAATTTTTAGAAGAAATTTTCTTTGAATTTATAAAGTAATAAAAATAAATAAAAAAAATTGAAATGTTGCGTGCATGACTTTCATTGGTTAATTTCGGGAATTTCGGATTTTTATCTATCTGCGGAGAAAAAATGTCACAAATTTTGCTAATTGACGACTTTGTATAAAAAAATGGTACTATACTTTTGTACTTTATAAATGTTTTTTTTTTTATTTTACGTTATGAAACTAATGTCAAAGAACATATTTATCATTATGCATTTTTTTTCAGGAATATCGAAAAAAAAGGTGTTTACTCTTGGGGATGTAGAGATGAGTGAAATTTTTCATATGTAAAAAATTTTTTACGTTTGTATAACTTTTTTTAATTATCGAATAATTTATTCCAACTCTCTATACATGAAGTCGAAATGAGGCAACTACATAGTAAAATCAGTTTCGACCTTATTTCGACCCTATTTCGACCAGATCCGCAAATGGTCGAAATAGTTTCGACTTCATGTATAACTATTACTATTCATAATTGAATGATTGATAAACAAATAAATAAAAAGTTTTTTTCTCAATATTTATGAATTGATTGTTTATTATGTTATAATAATAATAAATTAATGAATGAAACAAACTAGTTAGAATTATAATTAAGAAATTATGCTACGAATAGAAGCATTGTTTTAATTAATTGGAGCTTGCAATTTCAGCTGCTTGTTTTTTGTGATGTTGATTAAATCTAGAAGAAAATCAACATACCACCCCCACTCGGTAATTTGACCGGATCATGTGTTTGTGCAACTTAACATAAAAATAACCTTTTTTTCATATTTATACATGACATAAAAAAAAATAAACTTTATTCTTTATAAGTTCACCTTCAACAACAAAAATGTCACAAAATTTACACTCATTTGATTTTACTGATAAGTTGAATCTGGAAGAAGGACTTACTTTCGTTTCATGGGAACAGGCAAAATTATTTTTTGATAATTTTGCATTACAAGAGGGTTTTAGTTATAGGATTAGACGAAGCGAATCTGAAGATGGTATTGTAACAAGGTTAACATATGAATGTACAAAATCAGGCAAACACAATCCACAAATTACAACAGATCCTACAAAACATCATAATGTCCATTCTCAAAAAACAGAATGTCCATGGCATATTAATCTTTCTTTTCCAAAGTCAAGTAATGTAATAAAAATTAATTCCTTTGTAAATGCACACAATCATTCTTTGGACACAATGATAGGTGAAATGGTACCTCAATCTCGGAAACTTACCTCTTCCATGTTAAAAGATATCAAAAAATATGTGGTTAAAGGAAGGATGGACAAAAAATATGCAAAGGTGGTGAAAATTCTAACATAAAAGGTTGTAAATATGGAAAATGTAGACAATTTGGTCACTATGCAAGCACATGTATGGATTGAATAACTTTTATTTACTAATGTATTACTCAACTGTAATTTGTAGACATGCTATGAATTTAATATTAGGCTTATTTAAATTGTTGTTTATTATTTTAATTTTCAAACACAAGCATTTGGCATACACTCCACTGGTCATAAATATAAGGACACTTGCAGATCAGAAATAATTGAATAAAGAAACATGAAAAAAAATTTTATTTTTATTATCCTAACCACATTCACTTATTAAGTAAAAAATCATCTTCATATCAAATAGTATAATATACTGAAATTTCGCCGCATATAAACAACAACTTGTTGTTTTACAAACCTTAAAAAATAAAAATGAATTTTTTGGAATTTTCAAAAAAATCTTTAACTTGAAAATTGACCACAATGGCAAGTTCTAACAACCTTTGTGGTATAAGTGAAAAATGCGTCTTATGTTTAAATCTAGTTATATCCAAAATTCTAGAGCATTTGGTAAATTAATTGCCAAGATGTCATATGATTGGCTTGGTCTAAAGACCTTCGATTGCTGCGCCATGCGGACAAATTTCAAAATAGCAAAAAATAGGACTTCACGTGATTTTAGTTTTCTTACTGCCAAATTTAGATACGATAGTTAAGAACTAGTCTAAATTTGGTAATATTTTTCCTAAATTTAGAAATGATCATAGTGGACAAATTCCTCGCGAGCATAGTAAAGTACATGTTTTAAAAAAGAATAGAACTCTACAACAAATATTTTTTGGGAAAATCTCTCTATTACATTAAAACTAAAGTCATATTCTATCAACTAATAGAGCTATTTTTTTAAAAGGTGGACAGAAAGTGACTTCTATACTTTTAAAATTTGCCCAAAATTTAGGAGGTCTTTAGACCGAGCCAACTATAAGAGAATGTATGTGTTACAAAACCCTCGTAGTTTCCCAATATTTTCTAAATAAAATTTGGTGTCTGGAAAGCCACAAGTACACAATACTTACTATGAATAAAAGGTAATAAAATAAATAAAATATTAGCTTTATTTTTACATGAAAAAAAATCTTTGAAGAGAATCATCTACAAATTACAAAATTGAAAATGAAAAAAAAGCAAGAAATGAACATGAATTTGGAGGGCAGTAATACATTTGGTAAGAGTAGAAAAAGAAAGGATGCAACTTTTCAAACAAGAGACTGGAAGAACTAGTCACCAGCGATAATAATAACTTTTCTGCATAAGATTTATCTTTCTTGGTTAATTTTGTTGTCAATAGTGATAGATGTGATATCATTATTATTCCGGTTATTCGTAATTTTTTTGAAGATAGTTCCTTTATATGTCTATTGTTATTATGAATATGGATTATTTATATCGGGAATGTGATTTATTATCAATTCTTTTTATTTTAAATTTTTGTTATATAAATGATTTAATAGATACTGTTTGTGACGAAGTTGTCCAGAAATAAGGAAAACTGATGTAAATTCAACAAAATCATCATCATTATATATATCCATTTTATCCATCATTTCACCTATTATCAATTGATTCTTTCATTCCGGCCATTTATTTGTTCATTTCCCTAATTATTTCCTTTTGACCTTCATCTATTATCTTATTTGATTTTAATCTTCTTTGATTTAGATCTAATACTTCGCATAGTAAACATTGAGTTGACGTTGTTGAAGTAACCAGAAAGTCACCAGATGCTGGTTCCTTCTCTGTAAAGAAGGACACATTCTTGTTAAAAAGAATACCAGCATAAATATGCATAATAAATTGGCCACTTTAACACAATCAATAATGTTTGCAGAATATTCAGCAAGAAGAAATATTGATTTAAACCACAACACTCATTAAGACAAACTAGCATTAAAAAAATGAATACTGTAACTAACAATATCTCAAATGATCCAAGGAATGCTATACTAATCGGATCAAAAAGATGTCTAGTTGTAATGATAATAGTCCAGAATATTGGAATGACTATGTGCTTTTACTAAATTTTGTATGTCGCAGGAAAAAGAAAAAAAAATAAAGAAAATAATTATATAAGGTTAGTATGAAGACTAGCCTTTTATTTCTTTACCAGCAAAAGAGTTTCTTTATTACTTCAATATTTTGTATATTATATATTATTACGTTATTAATATAAAATTACAAGTTATTAATTAGACATTGAAAAATATAGGTAAAAAATATCCTCACTTAACATCACTACAAATTTCAATTTATCAAGTAATAACATTCTGAGAAATGGAAGAAATAAAACAATTTGATGTACAAGACCTTTATTATTTCAGTTCGATATCCCAATTGAATGGAAAACGTTCAATAAATTCTTCGCATCTGGGCGCCCATTTTTAATAGCATTTCCTTCATGAAAATAAGGGCGATATTTCTTGGAAATGAAAGTTTTTGTGAAATTAATTTGTTATGTATCTTTCTTTCTTGGTTGTTGACAATCCTATCATTTTAAAATTTATAATAAAAAAAAAATCAATGACCTTTAAAGAAATTGAGAACCACAGAATCTTTATAACAAAGTCTTTAGCATATTATTGTACTTCTTTAATTCATTAGTAAAAAATAACAACAGTCAGTTGCTAAGGGTTTTACAAAAACATAAACCATTAAAAAAACTCATAATAATAATATATATTTTTAATATTAAAAATCATTCATTGGTCAAGTGTCGATCACTTTCGATCGTTTTGTGTGAAATGGTTTGAAATTATTATTATATTTATCTAACACTCCTGATTCTAATACCAATCAATACTAACAAAAAATTTTTTCGAGTAAAATATAAACGAGGTAAATAAATCTAAAAAAAAAAAATAATTAGTCAATTATTCAAATCTAAATTCGATTTTTTGTTCTTGATGATAGGAAATCATAATGGATAATGTAAGATGTTTGATTTGCTCAGAAAGATTAAAAAGTCAGGATTCACTTCTTCTACATGTTAAATCAGCACATTTGAATGCTCCTAATAATACTAATAAGAAAGCAAGAAGAAAACCAAAAAGGCGTAATGGTAATGGTAATGATTATATTTATAATATATTAAAAAATCAAGAAATACTGATTCTAATGAAAATAAATTTACAATTGAAGACAACAGCGATGATAGAGATGATAATGGTAATGGCATTGATGAAATTAAAAAAGGAGACAAAGATAGAAATCTTATAATTATTGAGGATGATGATGAGTGGGAGGAGGGGGAAATTGACAATGATAGCAATGACAATGATATGAGTACGAGTATGAATATTATTAATGACAATGATGTGGGTATGGATATGAGCACGGGTACGATTAATGACAAAATTCAAGATATAAAAGAAATCAGCATTAATAATAATAATAGTAATATTCAAATCCAAATCCAAATCCAAAATAAAAAACAAGAAAATGACATCAGTGACAATAGTAATAGCAATATTCATAATCAAAATATAAAAAACATCATTACTACATCAACTAAAGGTTTAAAAGGCAAAGAAACTATTAATCAATCTAATAATATCATTGAAATATATCCGCAATTTCCTTGTGAAATGTGCAATGCGTCTTTTTCTTCACTATTAGAATTAAGCAATCATATAGATTCCAATCATCCAGAAGCTTATCACCCAATTCTAATCACTTGTCCTGGATGTAAAGAAGTCAATCATAATAGATATTCGTTTAGTAGACATAAAAGGCTTGTTCATAATATCAAAGGTATTCAGGAGGATGAAATAAGACATGTTCCACTAACACTCAAGCAAAAGAAAGGCAAAAAAAAAAAATCAAAAATCAAAAATCAAGGTCCATTAAATAAAGTACAACATAGTAATCAAACAATCAATCAGACACAGAATCCACATGTAATTCCAAATATTAATTCACCAGGACTCAATAATAACAATAATACTTGCACCAATAGTGGTAGTCTTCCTCACAATAATCATATCAATAATTTTAACCCCATCAATAATTTTAGTCCTTTTTTTAACCCTATCAATTTTAACGGTATTGGCGAATCAGTTACCATGCAATTTACTTCAACAACAGGACAAGTTGTTTCAAGATCCTTTATTAGATGTAAGATTTGCAATATGAATTGCGAATCCGATCTAGCCTTTTCACTTCATAAAAGACAAGCACACTGATCAATTGAACCACCAAATTATTTTTCAATATAATATCAATTTTATAAACCTAATTGATAATAATAGTAATAATAGTTATAAATTATTGATACAAATAATTTACATGATTTTTATTTTTTTTTTATTTTAAGCTTGTAAGAAAAAATTTCAAACTATTAAAGTATAATCACATGTTAATTAAATAGGGTAAATAATTTTTGTATATAAGTACTTTTATCGATTGATTTATTTTTCTTTGTGCGCATCTCGCCATTTACACGTCACGAGTAGTTAACAGAGTATCAACAATAGAAATACTCAATTTTGGTTTCAACAACACCTACAAAAATAGCAACGATGTTCAGCAGTTCTTCTAATTTACCTCCTTCATATCAGCTTACTAGTTTAGATGATGATTCATCCAATTATCTTCCACTTGTAATCAATAGAGGTTTTATGAAGCTGGTGATGATGGTGTGGTGGCTAATTAGGAAACTATTCACTTTCTTCAATACTTGACGAAAATTCATTAATTTCTTTCTATATCAAGCAAAAAAAATTAAAAGACGTCACAATGATATCAGTGACAATGATGATCAACTTTTAACTTCCTACAAGTGGAGAATGTTTTAGATATCCAAAGCAAGCTTTTGAAATACTTGAATATGAGGCAGATGAAATGACCGATATCATGAAAAAAATATGAACCAGCCAATTAATTGTAAATCCAAAGTTATGTAATAATAGCAATAGTGGTACCAATACAAGTAATAATAGTAATAGTACAAGTAATAATAATAGCAGCAGTGATAATAGCACCATAATACTAGCCATGATAATAATATCAGTAGTAGTAATAATAATAATAATAAAATAATGCAACAAACAGCTTGATTGAAACATGTCCAATCTAATAATACAAAACGGAATATAGAAGTATAATCTAGCTTGGTTTTTGTTCAGGAAGTGATTTAACATTGATGACAGAGTTCAAATATATCAACGTGATATATGACGATTCAAGTGATGATAATCTTACATTGACACCAAATTCGGTGCCTGATGACGAAAACAACTCTTTTGGAAATGTTGCTTGGCCATTTCCATCCACCTTCTACAAATTGTTTTGATGATAATATACTCACTACAAGCAACAATAGGCAATAAAATTCCTTTTACAATATGGGAAGATCCTGAAGAAGGCATGTGTTTGTTTTTTTAATATTATTAAATAATAATTTAGTAAACTTGTATGCTGCTATGAATAAAAATTGCCTAGCGTTTCTTATCAACGATGAATTGTTATTTCTTTGGTTTCAATATTGTCATTATTACTTACTGTGCACCTAGTGCGGACATTTTCCGATTAAATATGTGGACGGTGAATTTCAAAAAAAATAGACTTGCTTTGTGGCTTGCCTATTGAGAATTATTACCAAATTTTATGTAATCATTAGTTATTTTTGATCTTAGCAAGGTTATAATAAATAAGTCTGCATATTATATCGCTTGATTAAATGTAATTGTCAAGATCCGTCTCTTTGAGGATAATTCTAACTTCCTTGATACTAGTCTCATCCATAGAAACATTGTGGAGTAGTTAAGGGACATTGAAGAAAAACGCTTTGAGGTTTTTAAGTGCTTTTAAATATCATTGTTGTTGGTTTTGTTAATATATGAATTAGTAATTAATCAAAGTTTTGCTATAAATATTTGATATTAATAATAATTTTTCCTGGTTGTACTATATATAAATTCTCAATGCAGAGAGAGAGAGGGGTAATTTTTAAAATTATTTATTGTGAATAAATTGTAATTATTATTACAATCATGTGATCATTGTCTCATATTAATATAATTAATTTTAAAATCAAATTTAGCAAATCCATTAAATTGTTTTTAAAGAGATGATTTCAAATTATAAGAACTAATTTCTTCTAAAGACAAATTTCAATACTCTTTAACTAATAATCCATCAACCTTATAAAATATTCCATTATCAGCCTTATAACTCTCGCTAGTGTGTATATTTCCATTCAATAAGTATTTTTCATCCTTGATATCTTTGTCAACTTTGATTTTAACATTTTCATACATTGTCTGTAATTCTTCACCAACAGAAAGCGAGATCAAGTTTTTTTCAACAATATGTCCTAACACAAAATTATGTAATTTTGTCGTTGGATCTTCCGTTACAGAAATGTTACTTGTAGGTTGGTATGGTAGGTTACGAAACACTGAATTAGTAGGTGCAAAAATTGTAAATGTTTCATTGGGGTTTCCTAACATTTCAACCTAAAAAAAGATTAATAAATCGCAACCATTTATTATTTATAATAATCTCATTCCAAAAATGATGATAATGATGATAATAATACATTACTATATCACCAAACAAATAAATATAATCCATGAAAATAGTTAAATCTTTTTCCCTGGGCAAGATGTCCCTTAAGCTAGTATACCCTATGGGTATTGGTTCATTTGGAAGTTTAATTATTAGCTGTCTTTTTTCTTCTTCGGTCATATTTGCCTTGCCATAGTAACGATAAGGATCTACCATTTCTGATGTTGTTATTGAGAATAAGAGTGAAAAGACGAGCACTATTTGTAAAAAGATGCACTTTTGCTCCATTTTTTTATTACAAAAAAAGTATAAACTGATCAGCGAAATGCTATTTGTATAAAAATTTGGGATTGATTTTCCACGTGATACTAAATTGATAATAATTTTGGTAGCATTTAATCCGAATTTGAATCAATTAACGGATCTATCACAATAACGCTACGCAATTGTCCAAAGAACTGAACAGTATCAACAAAGCGAAGCTTCTTATAATTCTCCTAATTCTTCGCTAGTTCTTAGTCGCACTGATTATAATTAGTGGGTGTAATCGTAAGAATTGGGAATTCGAGTATACTACCGACTCACCCCACATCACCATGGTATAAATTTGATTAACTTGATTTTTTTGATTACAGGCTTAGACTGAACTATCTAGAATCACTTTAAACAAATCTTTGATAGTTAGGACCGAAAAAAGTTATACCTTCGATGAGATGCGTTAATGCATATTCGTTCACTTGGAGGGTTATTAGGCAGGCAACGGTAAAAATCTTTATAATAGAGATTGGTTTATGGATAGGTGGTATGGAGTAGTGGAAAGGAACAGTCATTTTATGGGTTAGGGCTCGAGTGTTTCCTCCCTTTGAATACCCACTACTTTATTACATGGCTAGTTATTTATATGAAAACTTTGCACATTTTATAATCGAAAAAATTTTATATTAATATACTTTGAAATTGGCGATTTGCGAATTTTGTTAATGAATTTTATTTATGTAAATCTAATAGTCACACAGTGTCCTCTATATCATAGTTTTTGGAGTGTGACACATTAATATATGAAATCTTTCTCGAACCTTTTTTTTTGATTCACTACGAATATCAATGATAGCTGCACTCTTTGCCTATCTAACAATATTTTTACATTCTTCTGTAGGTTTAAACCTTCTATGATGCTTAGCTATATAATTACCATCCATCTCTATTGCCCAGTCCAGTTTATACACGTAAAAATCTATATACCCTCCACATCCAAAAACTGCTCCCACATCACATGATAGAAAACGATCTATGAAATTCTTTCTGCCATGTTTGAAAAACCCTTACGAAATATATATTTCTTCTGGCTGAAATTCACATTGCCAAGAGCTTTTGAGTAATGTAGGTCCATTTTTTGCAGTACCGTATGTGTTTTTTAAATTATTGGATTGATTAATGAGAAAATCCTCAAAGATTCTCTGGTGTTAACTAATTCTCTCCAGTTAAATATGAATTTGCTTATTTTAACATTCTTTTTGTTATTTTTTCTCCATCTCTCTCCACATATCCATTGTTTGTTTTTATAATAAAAAACATATTGGTTCCACTATAGTTCTAGCCTATTAGAAGTGATTTCGATGTCCAAATATTGTTTGCTCATACTCAATTGTAGCTAAAAGTAATTTCGATCATATTAACATTTGATCTTGCTGTAGTTTTAGCTAGTTTTAGCAACCAAAAATCATTTCTACATCATTTAAATTAAATTGTTGCTTATTAAACATTGCTTACATTCAACGCAGGTTTGCTTAAATTTAATTTTTCAAATTTCCTGAGTTTTTTGATGATGCAATTTCAGATTTTGTGTTTATCACATAATTATGTGAATCACAAAAAATCAGTTAGAGCTAATTGAAAAATTATTTTTTACAAAAAGTTGGCTTCTTCTATTATATCTTCTATTTACATACTTGTCTCTTTAAACTTAACTGATTTTTTTGATTATCATTATAATAGAAGAAATAATAGTAAAAGGAAAAGAAGGCATTCCTTAGCTCCGAGGTAAATACTCATTTATGATTAATGAGCTATTTCATTATAATATCATCATCATTATTCAATCTGTCATTAATAAAAAAAGGAGGGAAACTTCATGTTCATTCAGAGTGGATAATACATCTTATGCATTTTGTGGAAATGATGCGACTTGTATATTTGAAAGGTATGGTTTTGTTTGAGGTAATTTATGTTTTTGATTTTTGATTTTATTGACAAAATTTAATAAGACATTTATTCACAAATGTTTGATTGATTTTAGACATGCTTTTGTGGAATTTGAAGATATAAATGGTGCTGAAAATGCATATAATGGATATCACGGTACTTTAATTCTTCAAGATCATAAAATAAAATTATCATGGGATAATCGAGCTTCAAGTGACAAAGCAAATGATATTTCCACCGTTGATGTTGGTCTTGATTTTGAAATCAAAGTTGGAGAAGATGATGATGTTAGAACTTTTAAAACCCATTCAACAATTTTAAAAGCAAGGTCTTCATATTTTAGTTCAGCTTTATCGATAGAAAAGATCAGACGATGGTATTTTTTTATTTAAGAAGGAAAACATCTCTCCAAAATATCCTAAAGTATGAAGTATTATTATTATTATTACTGATAAATACTTATCATTAATACTGTATATTTATGACTTTTCATTAGTTGTTTTATAATGAAGAAGTTTGATGAGTTGAACTTGGATGCAGATATCGTTGTTGAACTCCTTGTGGGCGAGTGTTAAGATGCAGGCGAAAGGCAAGGGACACGCTAAAATTGCTTAATAATCGATTGAAGTTTGCGATGAATTGCTGGTTTGCAAGCCAATTCATTATTTGCAAAAACATCCAATCAAAGGAAAAAATGAGCCAAATAATTTCTTGGCCTCAACACTGGTTTAACCTACTGCAAAAATTTAACCTAACAATAATTCAACAATGGAAAATCAACGCTTACCTCTATATTAGGAAGTGATGATTTAAATTTAAAAGAATTCAATTCAATGGGGAATAGGATAAAATTGAAAATTGGGAAGAATCAAAGCGGAACGATGATGAACTAAAAAATTTAAAAAATATATTACAAGGTATACTTTCACTGATCAAATTTACGGAAATATCTTCAGATGATTTTCTTGATAAAATCAAGCCATATAGAATTGCATATGAAAACATTCTATTACCCTTATGAAAGGGAGTATATGTTCAATATTAAAAAAAGATTATTATAATTGGCCGGATACACTAAATTTGATATTTGATCCTTGAGGTTGCCTTTTATTTATGATATAATGTTCATTTTGTCTGATTTGTTGAAGTATATGTCAAAAATTTATCCAAGAATATAATGTTTAGAACAAACTTCAAAACTTGAAGGCAAACTTTAAAAAATCCTTTAAACTTCAATGTTTCATAACCCTAAACGCGTATGCTTACATTCCATAAAACAAATCAATAATTTTATCAATTTGTTTTATTACAATTAAGGATACGTGTTGCGATGATATATCAACCATTAGTAAATTTAATGTTGAAGTTGTAGGGTAATTTTAAATAGTATGCATATTTATCTTGAGACTTTGATGAATTATTGATACTATTTATTGTTATTATTATCATTATTATCAGTGTTGCTGTTACTATATAGATACGAACTATTTGTTGTAATTTTTATCATAATCATTATTGTTGTTATTGAAATAAAGCCAATAAGTCAATGGAATGACGTTAATATTATTATCATTATCATCATTATCATCATTATCATCACCATCATTTGATACGTTGACAATAGGTGCAACTTCTGAATTGCATATTTGAATTATTTTCTGAATTATTACCAAGTTCAGTGTCAGGAGATGCGTTTTTAATTGTAGCGATTGTTTTAAATGCTTTTGAGAAGAATGCAGTGGTAATGGAAGAGATCATGGCAAAGTTACTAATTTAATTGTTGATGATATTTTGATGATTGATATTTTGAAGTTTTGATTAATTGATTGTGATTGACATTTTGATTCTCTGGTAGAATCTTGTATATTTAATTTGTCCTCTAATTAATTAATTATTTAATAATTTATTAATCATCTTCAAATATTTTTCATCATTCATGTCTTCATAATATGAAGATATAAAATCTACATCATCGTTAGTTATTGTTCCATAATTATATAATTGATCTAAATTTGATCTAAAACTGTACTCTTATGATTACGATTTCTACTAACACCACTTGTCCAGTTACTTGGACCAGGTGAATGATTTGTTAGTATTTGTTGTATTCTTTGAATTTTTATTTTCATTAAAGGAATTATTTTCTAACATTATATATTCATTAAAAGAATTATTTTATATTTTCTTCAAAAGAAATATTTTCAATGGAAAAAAATTTCCCCAAAAACATGAATACGGATGGATTGATTTACTCAATAATTAAAAAATAATGATGACAAAATAATCAAAAATTTTGGGACATTGTCATGTATTCATTTCGAATAATATTTCAAAACATGATGTTTGTTGAATATGATAAATAAAAGAAAAATTTAATTGATCCCTGCCCACATGTTGTAAAATGTTGTAACAAACAAGTTTTAACTGAACAATAAATATCATAAGGAAAAAATTATTTTACTTTATATTTGTTGGACAAAATTTTATTGAATAATCAATACACCATCGCTATTGTTATTATGACAATAAATGATAATTGTATGATTCTTTTTGAACAATAATTATAATAATAATAACAAAAGAAACTTTGCAATTTTTTTGAGACGTAGGTATTTTTCAGTTTTGCTTATTTTCTATTTATAGTAATAGAAAAAAACCTTGAAGATTAACTATAGATAATATAAACTTGTAGCGATTCAATGTAACATAAAAAATCTGGTAGCGAGCCACGCATAATAATAACATTTCAAATTTTCTGATAATGCATATATATATAATAACGTGATAAATTTTTTACAACTGCTTGAGACCAAATTTAGAAATCTATACTTGTTAATAACACGTTATAATGATGATCATAGCTAACAATGGGCATAACAGTGATAAAACAAGTAATACTACTGGTTACATGTATGGGACTGATGCGGGTATTTGTCAGGGCTGGTGAAGGGATTAAATCTTAATTAGTATATATATAATAATTTTGTCTTGATTAAACTTGACTAAACTTGACTAAACTTGACTTAACATATGAGTAAATAGTTAGCAAGAGTTCATTTGAGTTACGCGGCCGATATTTTTTAACGACGTGACAATACATAAAAAAAATTTACAATGCACAACTCCTCCCTCCCATTTTATCATCAAATCGTATTCGTTGGAGTGACTTGGCGTCATATTTTTAGGGAATTGTTATTCGCACCCCTCCCGTGACTAAGTGTAGTAATGTGACCAATGAATGGGATTTAGTCACGGGAGGGGTGCGAATAACAATTCTCTATTTTTATTATAGTCTCAAACAAATGTTCATTTCGCGTGATTTTTAATTGTGTCCTTTCACTGTACTTGGTCGCAGTTCTATATATAAAAAAAAAATAAGCAATTATGAGTATTTAATCACAATATTAATAAAAACACATTAATATATGTACATCCGTGAGATTTTATTTATTGTCTTTTAAAATGAAGAGAAGACCTTGGAACGTATATTTTTCTTGTAAATTTTATATTTTATTAGCCTTCATAGAAGTGCTGAACCTCGCCACACTGCCAAATTAATTTTAAAGGGAACTTCCAAAAATAGAATACACGTGATCATGTGTGCCGAGTTCCCTTTTAATTCCATGTGTAAAAAAATTGGAAAAAGCGACATTGTTATTATTGATATGTAACCTTAATTTGACCAAATTTAGAAATTATTTATTCCAAATCTAACCAGAATTTTCGCTGCCAAATTTCTCGTGAACTACGTAGTAAAATACATATTTAACATTAGATTCGATCGATAATTCCACTCATAAAAAAAAATCGATTTATATCTTAATTTGACAAGTATATCATCTATCTAAATAATAAAAGGAAAATAAAATAAAACAATTGGTGTCGGTTCATTAATCATATTAATCTATTAATACAATATTTGTCATGTACTACAAACAGTTTAAAAGACCCAAATTCGTTGTTACCATTCATTTTATAATTTTCAAACTTTTACTAATTTGGAAAAATAATTTTTATTATGCATAATTCTAGAGTCAAGAGATCCTTGCACTGCAAGTAAATAATTTAATTTATCCACGTGCTAGCCAAATTTGAACATCGTTTGTCATAGTGCATTCAATATCGGATAACTTATATGTCAGATATGATCTAGTAACTTTAATTATACAAAACAAATAACACAAATGATTCAATATCAATATAAATAAATATTCCTTTTTGTATAATAATTCCCAACGGGAAATAATTTTACAATTAAATAAAATAATTTCGGATCTGAGCTTTGTTTGGCTTAAGTAATATTAAGTAATAGTAAAGGCGTTTCCAATTTTAGTTGGTATCGTATCGATTATGTAATTGCGTCATAATTTTTTGGAGTGGTATAAATTTTAGAACTTTTTGATTTTTTTTTTTTTGATTTTTTTAAAAAAATTTATCTCGTAACACACATACATATCATGTCTCCACAAAGTATTTCTACAAGAACCTCATTTTCTTCGTTTATATCAAATAATGATAGCATTCCACAAAGGAATAATTCAAAATCATTATTTTCTTCTTCTACTTATCTAAAAATTAAATTAATGGAGCCAGCACTTTTTCTACGTGGAAATCCTCAAGAATCATTAGGTTGCTTTTTAAGGGGCGAACTAATATTAATTTTAGACAAACCCACCAAAATAAAAAAATTAGATTTGAAATTTAACGGTAAATTGAAAACTTTTTGGCCAGAGGGTAGAGTCTATTATGGTTAGTATTAGTAATTAAATTTTCCGAATAAATCTTTTTATTTATTTATTGTTTTCCACCTATAACAATAATAATAGTAATGATAATAATTTATTAACAGTTTATTAAATAATTCATTAGGCTCTACGAATAATAATGATCTATGTGAAGAATGTGAATTAATATCAAAAAATTGGACATTCTTATCTTATCAATCGTCCGTTCACCCATCATCGCCATCATCGCCATCATCATCACCACCACCATTGCAACAAGGACAACAATTAAATTCACGTTTAAATATCATTCGAAAATTATCTTCAAAATGTTATACCATTCTTCAACCTAACATTTACACCTTTCCTTTTGAACTGTTTATACCCGGTGATTCGCCAGAAACAATAGATACTGAATTAGCAAGTGTCTCTTATAAATTGAGCGCGACACTCTTTAGACCAGGGTTATTGCCAAATATACATGTGACACAACAAGTGCCCATAATGCGTGCTTCTATATCCGAAGAAATGAATTCCGAAGGTATTGTCACTTCTAGTGATTGGAAAAATTTATTTGGTTACGAAATCATGATACCGAAAAAAGTATACTCCATTGGTCAGCCCATAGAAATGCATTTGAAATTAATACCAAAAGTTAAACATTTAGATTTTGTCGAGTTAAAGGTACAATTGACAGAAACTTGTATTCGCAGATCAAAAGGCCACACGAATCAAGATTCAAAAGTTTTAAAAACTCTGAAGATTGAAAATTTAGATAAAGTGATCAACGATAATAAATTTATTTATCATAAAAATATTTCATTTATTTTACCAAAACCTTCAAAAAAAATTCATTCGTCATGCGAGACAACTTCAATCTCAATAATACACAATTTGAAATTCATCTACACAATAAAAGTTCCTTCCAACTTTAATATTGACGATGGTGATGATAGTAATAATAATAATAATAATAATAATAATATCACCATCAACGTAGACGATAATGATGACGATGACGACGATGATAATAATGAACACAACAAACAATTCTTTTTAACAAGATCATTACCAGATTTTGGAATAGGCGAAAAAGTTAAAAAGAAGAAAATAAGTACTAAAATTGATATACCAATAACTTTATCATCTTTTAAAGCTTATGATGATTTGCCTCAATATGACAAAATCAATCATGATCACAACAACATCAACAATAATGATGAAAATAATAATAATAATTTTGCACCTGATTATCTTTCTACTTTTCAAACATCTCCACCAAATTATGAAAATTCTAATAATTTTGAAGGAAATTTCATAATAAATAATGATGATGATGGTGATGGTGATGATGATGGTGATGATGATGGCGATGGTGATGGTGATGATGATGGCGATGGTGATGGTGATGGCGATGGTGATGGTGATGGTGATGGTGATGGTGATGGTGATGGCAACAGCATTTTACATGTTTAATATTACAAAGCCTCATAGTAAAAAATTCAACTTAAAACTCTTTAGAATTATAGTTTTGTAAAATATTAATAGAATTTACATTAACATACATTTAATTAATTAAAAAGATTGTACATTTTAACACAATCATATTTTCAGTTATGATTTTATTTTCAAATAAAATATTGAATAATTTGAATATTGTTAGGATCAATATTTTCAGGACTTATCAAATTGCCATTCTCATCTTTAAAAATTATACATACTACACATACTTAACCTATCCTTATCTTCAGTCGGCGGTAAAGAAATATCCTCTTCATCTTTTTTAATTGAATTCGCTGATCTTAGTAATATTGGTCCCAAAAATTCCATTAAACCACTGACATCTTTATGTGGAGTTGTTGATGGCATAAGCGGTATATCTCTTGATTCAAATTTTTCGCATAATTTTGCTTTTGATCCGCTGGAACAACATGACCTTTGACATATTCCCCAAGGCACTATTCCAGACCAACCTGTATCATATATATATATAAACATATTATGTAAGTATTATATTTTCGAAAGCAACAAAAAAACCATTTACAACAATATTTATGTATAAAAATTACCAAATAGAAAAGTGTAAACTCCAGTTAATAATGAATAAAATAATGATATTAATGCGATTGAATCCAGATTCTTTATAAAAATAGCAATAACAGAAAATATAATAAAATTAATTGTTGATTATTTTGAAATGAAATGAGAAAATATATATATTACATATGTAATAATATGTTTATTTACATTATAAATTCTATATCAAAGTAGAAAAAAATCAGTGTTAAAAAATCAATGTTAAAGAATTTCAAATTTAAAAATTTATATTAAATATCAAAAACAAACACCTAAGATCACTTTCTATTGTTTCAACCCAATTCAAAGTACCAACAAATAAAATACCATAATTACTGGCTGCAAATTGATCTATTATACTTGGTATTCTTATAGATTCTAATTTTATTTAAAGAAAAAAAAAAAAAATAAATTCAATAAAAAAAATTTTTTTTTATCATTAAAATTAAATTGGTTAACTATTAATTGTTACCCACTAACCAATTCTAGAATCAATATAAGGTTGAAGGAGATAATATGGAGGTAAACCGAGCATTTCCCAAAATGACGTTATAAGAAATTCTCTTGTCTTCCTATCAATATATATACTATTTATCTTTATAAATAAATAAATTGAACTAATTAATAAATCGATTAAAATAATATATGTGTAATATTTATTGCATTAATAATACCTGATGATATGTCATTATATGAAAGTTGAGACTATCAAGTCTCTCAATAAAATAAGGATCAAGTTTATTTACGAGATTACCCACCGCTTCAGGTAATCTGTGTGGATTAAATTCTATATTTAAAAATTTTTTTAAGTTAATATGATAATAGTAATAAAATTACTAAGCAAAAAAAAGTTACCTTGATCGTAGGCTTTAATTACAATACCATTATCATATTTTGGATTATATGCAGCATCAGTGATATTGATTAAAAATTGAATGCCATAACGTTTATCAGGTAAACTAAAATTTAATCTTTCAGTTATAGGTGCATCCAGAAGTTCAGTTGGAACTTGGAATTTTCCTATACATCGACTCTTCGATAAATCGTTAGGATCAGGTTCGCCACATACTGTTGGCACTATATAATTTAAACATAAATCCTTGTCTGTTTGAGATGTTATTCTGTTATCTAATAAATAAAATAAATAAAATAATTTTTTAAGATTTCGATTACAAAAAAAAAAATACTTTTCCTAAATCATCAATCAATATTGTTAAATTACCAAGATATCGAAATTGACAATCCATTGAAAAACTAAAATTCGCAGTTATTATTAAATCTAAACGATCCAAGTAATTAGTATTAACCTTGGAATAAGGAATTAAAACGTTTAATCAAGAAATGTGTGTGTGTGTGTGTATATATACCTGGTACTGGTATATATAGTTTAGGTATTGTCACACTCGTAATGGCAATTCCATTAGAATATATTAAAAAAACAGTGTATGCTATTAATATTATCATGGAAATTGATAAACATGAAATCCTCATGCAAACTAAAACACGAGGTTCCTTTTCCCTTTGATATATTTTTTTTGGTTCATAAAACAATCTTGTCATTTTGAAAATTTATCTTTTATTTTTAAAAAAAAAAGTTGCAAATTATAATACAAAAATAAATAAATAGTCTCAATTTATAACTTTAAAAGTAAACATTGATTTATTAACAAAGTAAAGGCGCGAAAATTTTGGTTACACGATAAATATTCCATCTTCGAAACTTTATTTAATGTCAACTCAGCCCCAACTCTGGAATTTGTTGTGATGTAAATCTCTTTCTTTAAATAGTCCACGCACAAGAACTAACGAGAAAATTATAGAAAGAAAAAGAGATTACTTGCATATTTGCATGTGATAACTCGATTAATATCACCAATTTTGCTAAAACTGGCTATATTAAAAAATTTTTTTCACAGTTCTTTCTGTATTTTTTATGCCTTTTTCACTATAATAATGGTATCGGAAAGGCAGTCTTTTTCTCAGGACAATGTGATTTTAGAAGTTATTGTAAGGAATAAAACAAATACCATTTTTAGAATGTAAATTGGTAATAATTTCTGAACCTGCATTTCCTGCACAATAAAGCCTTTAAATATGACGCTAAATCCTTAATATTCATCGGGATACAAGGGGGGACGATTAATTGGTAATCTGCATTTCCTACGCCAAATTGTGTTAATTTTTAAAAGTTAACTTTATTCATATATCACCCACAATTTTCTTTCAAAACGTAAGTATTTTCCTCATTTCTAAAAACCTCACGGTAATTTTTTTTGATCCAATCAATTTTATTGAGATTTAATATCGAAATTTATATGGGGTTTTTTAATTAATCATACGCAAAAGTTAAAAATCACAAGCTACCTAATGATATAAATTGTATGTGGTTTTATTATGTGGTATTTTACCTAATTATTATTATTGAAAACCCTTATTCGGATACTTTCTTCCGGCTAGTGAATTCTAAAAAAATAAATTGTAAATAGTGAAAAAAAAATAATTATACGATAATACATAAACACACCACACACATAAATACCTTTATTTATTTTTTTTTTAAAGAAATAATAAAAGAAATAATAATAGCAAATTACAAATAGTATATGTCATCCATCTATTGAACCACCTTTCAATTCTAATCATATAAATCCTCAAAATAATAGTCATCCCTGTCTTGATATTTTGGAAATGACTTAAATCTTGTTGGTTTACGTCTTCTCAATAAAGAGTTGACTCTAAAGTTACGACGATAGTCTGACTCTTCGATTTCCTTTGCAAATTTTTCGACAATAAATTCATAATCATAAGTTGTTAGTAGTGTTCCTAGATTATTGCTTGTTTTTAGAACCAATCGTTTCAATCCATTTTCATTATACTCTCGTAATAAATTTCTTCTTAATGATTGCATATCTTCAGAAATAAATAAAATAGATGAAAGAATTGATTTATTATCAAACCCCGTGACATAATTAGCACCAATCGGTCTATGTACTTTTTCAAGTTGTCCCACTCTATTAACAAGTCGTAGGAACGCTCGGTTAAATGCTTCCCGAATCAATTCTATCTTTCTTGTTGCACGCGCTATATCATTATCTTAATATATACAATATAATGATGTGGGTTAGATGGCTCTAATATCATAATTTATATTTGTTATTAGTAATTGTAATGATATGATTAAATAATAATAATACCAGGATCTGATGGGTCTTGTATACATAAATTTGTTTCTGGAATTTTAACTGCCCAAATTTGATAGTACTATGATATAAAGAAAAAAAAAATAGATTTTAATAAATAAATCATTATCTAAAATAAAAAATGTGTATATTATTACAATTTAATGTATGAACACATGTCAATTTACATTAATTTATTACCTTTCTACAATAGCTTCCACCATTTCTTATTGTGATTGCCAGATCTTTATAATTGAACTGATTTCCATATAATTCAAAAAATTCTATCAAAAGAACACCAAGGTTATCATTACTGTCTATCTTTAAAGTACCATCAGCAATACGTGGGTGTAACTTGATATTTTATAAATAAACAATTAATATATATTATATGTGGGTATTTTGCTTAATTTCTACTAAAATTGTTATTATTATAAAATACCTGTAGAAAATTTAATATCATACAGAACAAAGTATAACCGCCCATTCCACCATTTGATGGGTCATCAAGATTATGGTGTTTTAAAAAATATTTTAAAACCAATAGCAATCTACCAAGAATAGGCCATTCTCTAAGATATCCCTTTATAGTGCTAACAGATGCAAAAACAGATCTCTGATTAAACGATACGTCAATGTTAATTTTAGTGTATTTTTCTTTGAATTTGATAATAGGAACCTAAATATTATTTTAAACAATAGAAATCAGAAAAAATAATACAAAATAAATATTTATCAATTAGCAATTAAAATTATAATATAGATACATACCACTGCCCCATGTATTACTATGGGACTGCCATGAGAATATCCTTTGATTTCTAAATAATCAGCCAGTTGAGAGAGTGGCGCTAACGAACTTACATGACCAAAAACGACAATATCAATATCACTATTAAAGATCAAATCAATCAATCAATCAATCAATCAATCAATCAATCAATCAATCAATCGTTTGTTTGTTTGTTTGTTTAAAATTACAGGGGAAAAAATTTTTTACCTTGTGGGAAGATAGATTCCAGAATTAAAACTTCCAAATATGAGAACTTCAGAATCACTGAATCTAGATTTGATAGCAGCTTCAATTCTTTTAATTACAAATATTCTTAATGATCTTTCAATCTCGGTTGGAGAAAGGTACTCTATTAGATCATTTAATTCAAAATGCATCCTAACAAAGTAATGATCAATTAAATCAATTGTACATCTTTTCATGTCATTTATTACTTTTTAATTGTTAAATATTCGATAAATAAATTACACATACACACACATTACCTGTGTACTACATTATCATATTTTCTATTACAATCATTGTCTTTCATCCATGGAAGTTCACTGGTGTTTGGCTTTCTCCAACTATTTACTGCTTCAAAATGATCAAATTTTCTTTTCTTAACAGGACTCATCATAGGATGATATTTTCCTAACTCTTTTATTTCTTCTGATGTTATTTTGTTAATAGGAATGAAATCTAGATTAGGCATTAAATATTTCCTATATAAAATTGGAAAAATTATAATTAATAATAAAAATATATTTGAGTAAAATAAATAACTTAATTACATACAGTGCATTTTGTGGCGTGGATGGAGATTTATGACTTGTAATAATTGACTTTGACGATTGTGAGGTATCGTTGTTGTTATTGTTTTCTAGTTTATTTGGAGAATAATTTTTATTTCCACTAGAAGTGCATTGACTTGAATCTTGATTCGGTAAAGATATTCTTTTAGAGTTATTATTATTATAGCTACGGTTATAATGAAATTTATTGTTAGAATCGTCGTTGTTGTTATTTCCGCTATTATGACTATTCATGATTGTTGTTGTTATTGTTGTTGTTATTAATTATTATTATTATAATTTTATTGGCTTTTACTGGGTTACACTAAACGAGGAAAGGATCCTATAGTGATAGTATATACTAGCTAGTTGTGGTTTGACATATCCTGCCACAAATTAAAAATGAGAGGTGAATACTAACCTGGGAAAGTTCTCCTTATAAGTGTTCATGTGTAAAAAAAAATTTAATTGAACTGGAGTGGAGACGATTTAGGTATTATTTATTTATTGTAATGAGGATTTGAATCGATTGAATCGAAAATTTATGAATAAAATGGAGTTTTCTTTTTTAAATTTAAGTTGAAGATTGGATTTAGAGTGTGTGTGTGTATGTAAAATGAATAAATCTTCCCCGCCTCTATCTATAACAGTTCGTAGGATTGGTCTTATGATTTTCCCACTTTGGGAGGAAGAATAAAAATTACATCATTTCGAAGCTAGAATTTTTTCTCTTTACAATAATATCAAGTCATCTTCCTATTATCTTTTCCTATAAAATTTGAGAGAAATGGGTTCGCTCAAAATGCATATCATGTATTACTTATAATTCGTTCTTTTCTTACATAATTTTTGGGCAGGCTAGGATCAAATTATGTGACATAGTAAAACTATAAATTTTTCTTATATGGGGTCAAAATTTAGTCATTTGTAATGTGATCATAATTAACGGTTTTATAATATCCCACAAGTGTAGAAGGTTGCCATCCAGAGCAGGGTTTGTGGCCCTGAAATTGCATTTGGACTCTGATGTTAAGAGGAAAGTTGTAAAATAGTGTTTTGTATAATCATTTCTTAAATTATCGCATGATAGCAGCATAGTGGACATTCGTTTTATCACATGTGACAAAATCGATCGTTGATCTTTTTTATGGTATGCTAACACTGCTTTTCTCGTATAATTTATTATTCAAATAATCAACTGGTTATTCAACCAATTAACAGTTCAAAAGTTCAAATATTCTTTGAAAATATTTGAACCAGTTATAAAATCGAAATTTTCATCAAAATTTGAGAAACTCGAGAAATTCTTGGCAACAACAACAACTTTTTATATATGTATTCCCTAAATCCACAATTTATTAAACTACAAAAGATTATAGAATTATCACCTTTCTCCATTAAACAATTCAAACGAAAATGAATGAGTGTTAATTTTTATTCAAAATAGTAACAGAAATATGCCATTGTTTTATTTGATTGTATCACTATAGAAAAACTTTATAATAAGTAGAAATCAAGGGTAAATATGATACACACCTACCCTTCGTGATAGTGCCTCCATTTCACCCTTTGTAGTTGTCCTTAGTAGTGGTGCATACATGTGATCAGAATATCATTTCCAAAGGGAAATAAAAACAATGATGGCAATTGGTTATTTGCGGCAATGGTAACTACCATGGCTGTCGCAAATAAATACGACTGCCACAAATAGATGCCGCAAATTTTATTTTTACACACAAGTTCACTGTAAATGAATGACCGACTAATTGAATTCATCAATTACAATCCAAAAAAATTCAGTTACTGCAGAACAATAATGCTACTGACAATAATTGAAAACTATTTCCAGCAGTCGTAGTTATTTGAAGTAGTTGTATCTATTTACAGCAACTGCATCTATTTGCGGCAGCCGTAATTATTTACGGCAAATGGTAGCAATGGTAGCTACCAGCTCAATAATTTACGACAAGTGTCTTTAGATGATGAGAAGGGTTTTTTAAACCTCTGGACACAATCCAAAATCTTTTGTATCAAGATCATATCCTCTTTTAACACATGTACAATCACATATAATTTCTTCTTTTTATTGTGTAGGCACCACTTCTCAGGATCTCGGACTTATATACATGCAAAATCAAAAATCTACCTGCTGAATTGTTTTAACATCTGTAGATTTTACACACATTGTAAAAGATTTGGGAAAATGGGTAGGTATATTTGACCATTGCCAACAATGAATTCCAGTTCATTTAACCCTGGATTATTATTCTGCCAATCCTCATGTTCACTTTGAATATGAAAAGTTTACAAGTAATTTTTTTATGAAATGCCGGGAAAAGTATTTGATGGACCCAATGATGCATTGAGAATATTTAATTCTGAAGAGAAGACTGTGTATAAAAAGGTATATTTCTTTGGCTTTATTATTCCTCAAGAATATATGGGTTTGATGATTTGCTAAGGGGTGGGTATAAATGCAATTATCAACAGGCCAATGTAATAATATATCTATTTTTTTAATGACAAATGGTCATATATATATGATAAAAATATAATAAATTATATTTATTATTGTATTTAACTGTTAAACCATGCTATGCCTTATTTTTGTTTTTGCCATAAGTATGATGTCATGAACTCTACCTCAACATGATATTATATGGGGCATGCTGCAACAAAACCAGACAAAGTGAACATTGGTATAACCAAGAATTTCAGGGATCAAATTTAGTCATTATTATCACAATCATGTTGTAATTATAATTTAACAGTCCAATTTGTTATCTTAAGTGATATATAGAATTACCTCTATATAAAAATAGTTAATATGAAACTCATTTACATCAGATCTACTATGGAACCCAAGAATTATAGCACCATTCGAAGTATTTTGAAGAAAGAGCAGGGTGAAAAAATTGCTCCTTATATTTTCAAAATAAATGATACTCAGACACTGGAAGCTTATCTAAGAAAAGAAAAATAATAAGTGATAATAATTTAATTTTATAATATCTTTTTTCTTTAAATTTTAATTCTGATACAACCATCTTGTGAACCACGTTTTGTAACTGGCATTATCACAGGTTGATGAGAGAATGATGAGACTAAATTGCAAATTCTATAATTACCAGGTGATAAACCTTGATAAAATTACATTTTTATCTGGCTGATCCAATCCTTTAAAGAGTGCAAAATCTTTTGCATCAGGTAAATTATTACCATCAAGTTTTTCTATGTAACGTGAGAATGTCTTTGTCAAGAACTTGGCTCAATATGCTGAAAATTAATGGAACTTATTTTGAAAATTTTAGAATCATCTGATTAACAATGGTCTTTTACCAGGAAAACAATTTATAATGTTTTGAATCTGAATATATGGTGATTGACAAAAGCGGTGCAGTAGTAATGATTTTTTCTAGAAAAATTATACTGAAGTTCATGGCTTATCAAGCCCAGGCAGAAGTGTCAATAGAATAACCCAATCAGTTACATTCTTACCAGCTGAAATGAGTTACAAACCAGTACACAGGGATTTTCTAATGGTCTAGAAGAAGATAACAAATTGAAATCCTTTTGAAGTATTATACCTTCAGAAAGTTATGATGCCGATTGACACCAGAAATTCAAATTATGAGTCCAGGGGATTGACTTGTGTGATACTTGTCAACGTTTTTGAAACGATTTACACTTCAATGGGAAGAGGCTAGTGATTTACTCAAAAAGTTCAAAGAATATTTGTTCAAGGCCAAATTAGAAAGAAATTATAATAAAATACAAAATTAGTTGAACAAAGAAAACCAGTTATTCTCAAAATATTGCAGTATTGATATGTACTAGTTATGTTTAGTCAAGAATAAAATTTGAAAATTTTTTAAAAATTGGCCACATGTGTTCGTGGAGTTAGCACTAATATTACATATATGAAATTGGAAATCTATATATAATTAGATATGGAGGAGTGTTTGGCGTGAAATTAATTCCTTTTGATTGTCTAATTTAATTTTCACATGTACACGACAGAACATTGTGATTTCTTGATAAATTTCTTACAAATTATAATAATTACACTAAACAAAAATGACATATAAGTTTTATCTATTATCTTGTGAACCTGGTGGTAAAAAACATCTTTCACCTTGTGATTCACTATTATTCCCCCACCATTCTGGAAACGGCACCTATTATTATTATTATTATTGCCATGAAAAAAGACATTGAAAAAAATTTTTTAAATTTTGTCAATTAGTTAGCATGATGTGATCCAAGAGTTGGACTAATGATATTGGCGACTGACTGGATACCTACCTTAAGCACACCACTTAATAAAAAGAAAATCACCATTGTAACAATTTGTGATCCACTATCCAATGAAGCTGACAATACGTAATTATATCTATTTTCGAAATTGAAAAGTATTAATAAATAAAGGTTGTGTAAAAACTTGATATTTTTATTATAATTACATTGTTACTTACTTTGCCCACCACTAAGAAAAAATTTCATATAAACAAATAAAATAAAGTTGATTAATACCATTTACAAAAAAAAAATTTTTACCAAATACGTGCAACACCTATCCTCCTCACAAATTCACGCATATATCAATCAAACTATTATTTATTTACCTTATGGTGATACCTATAAGCCCAAAATTGACTCAAGAAACTAGCTATAAGCCCCATAGTTATGAAATTGGTATATGTACCAGGTATTGCACTCATACCATGAGAAATCAAAGGTAGAGTGATTAGATGAAATTTTGCATTTGGAAATTTTTTATGTAGAAAGTAGATTGGAAATGGTAATAGAAATCCTATTGGGAAACCCCATAACAGAAAATGATACATCGAGTCCTAAAAAGATCAAATGAAAAAAAAACCGATTAATTAAATTTTTAAAAAAAGGAAAGTCCTGTTACAACAATTACTGATTGATTGATTGGATAATTACATTTCCAAAAGTTCTAGCAGGTCCAACTAACCCCCACACAATCGAAGCAGTATTAAAAACTTGAGATCGATAACCGGTCCATTGACCAGTCGGATCACGAGCAGTGCCATCTAAAAACATACGTTTTGCATCCAAAATAAGCTGTAGTGTCCAATAGTTTATAAATACTCCTACCAAAGTCCCCCAAATTTGTGCTATGAACAATGCTTTTGGTGGTATTTTCATATATAGTCCTATATATATATATATATATATAAAATACAATTACTTTTATTTTCTTTTTGTAATTATGATGTTAATGATAATTATTATTGCTATTATTATTTACCCAGTTTTAAATCTGAAACAAATGATAAAGATTGATGCATGGCCATATAACTATATGACTTGAAATATACATTGGCAATTGGTCTTCCCGGAAATATATACCTAATAATGATGACGTGATGAATTAATATAAATATAAATGTATATGTAATTTTATAATTTAAAATTGCCCACCCGCAAATCATTTCAGATATAACATTAAGACCAACTTGATTATTTGATATTGCTTGAATTACTCCTAAAAAAATAACAAAACAACAATAACATTACTACTTTGTTAAAAAACAAATAATAATAATAATAATTATTATTATTATTATTATTATTATTATTATTATTATTATTATTAAAACTACCTATTGGTAGTACTATAACACAAGCAAGGGCTACAGCTAATAACAGTCCCCACCACGGCAATTCTGATCCAGACACGTAACAAAGCGTGATTGCAATTGACAACATCGTTACAAATATAGAAGCATACCATAAATTTGGTATATCTAAAAATTCATAAATTTAAAAATTAAACCAATTTTCGCGCCATCTTTATCTTTATCTTTATAAATATATATCCTTATCCTTCCAGTCAATCAATATCAAATACTAACCTTCATACCTCTTCAACATTCTATAATGAATATCATCACCTTCATGCCTACTAGCCCTGAACCTACTCCAAATCTCACTTCCATAAAATAACATAACATGACTAATAGCTGATGAGAAACCTATAAAAGAATAGAGATATCCAAGGGCAAATGTGAGACTTAAAAATACAGGTCCATAAGAGTTATAAGCCTCTTCATTTAAAGAATTATCTTCTTGATTTAATATTGCTGTTTGATTATATCTTGTATATTTTTTTTTCCATGTAAAAAATAATTTAATATATAATTTAATGTTGAATTAAATAATTAAATCATTGTTGAATATGTGTGTATGTATCATGATAAATTTTTATAATTATATATATTATTAACCTTTCCCCATTTTTATTTAAAGAGTATGTTGCCAATAATGGAAATCTTCGTGCATCCCTAAATAATAATTGAATTATATAATATTTATTTTTAATGCTTTCAGCAAAACCAAAAAAGGTAAAGTAAATTTTTTCGATATCCTTACAATACATTATAATACCACAATAATGGAGTAATGACCCACGCACTTAATAATACACCAGCAAAATAATTAATCTGTGCCCACCTGAACAACAAAAAACAGATTAATTAAATACGTAAATATATTAGAATTACAAAAATCATAAAGCCCATACGCATGTGTGTGCGTGTGAACACTGAATACACACCAGGGAGTGTATAAAGGACCCGATTGTCCAATAGAATTCCAATCTAACGAAAAAGTCAAAAAGCCTAATCCTCGATACCCACTACCAAATCTGACTATATTTTCATTCATCGGTACGATTAAGCACAACACAGATATACTGGTAAGCAATGTGAACATGTACTGTGGAAAAAATTGCCAAATGAATACTAGGGTGAAAGCTATATAAAAAAATCTTAATTTGTCTCTTGTGTCCTTGGCGTTTCCATGTAATGTTGTAAATAGACTGGCAAATACCAAATTTGATGGCCACTATATATATAAAGTGTGCGAATTGATTGATTATTAATTGTGTGATGATGATTATAAATGATATTAATTAATTAATGTGAGTAGTAGGGTGGTAAACAGTACTATTGTTTAATTACTATTCCACAAATCTTAAATACAACATACCAACATACTTGCTGGACGAACAAGAACTATAAAAAGGAAGTAAAAAAATTTTGTTAGAGAATGGATCCAATTAGTAGTAAAATGTAAGTTTTATTTCCCTATCAATCCATTTCCATGCACAAATCAATCCACCTACATTTTCTTAAAAATCCTGCTAACCCATAACCAATCATCTGAGTGCTCAATAATAACGAGATTCCCATTAAAAAATTAGCACTCTCACCATAAAATAATTGTTGTATAGCAATAATATCCTTACAAATCGGAAGAAAAAATAGTCATGATGGTGATTTCAAAATTAATTAAATGATTGATTGATTGATTGATTGATTTAAATAAAACTAACTGTTCCATATGCTGTACCACCTCCTGCAGCAGAAGCTACTGCTATACAAACATGTTCCTTTATATTGAATGGACCTATTATTTCAAGTACGTAAATGTAATATTCTTGGTAAAAAAAAATAATCAACTCTCATCATCATAAGGTACATACCAGGATTGAGTGAAAATTTCCATTTACATATTTGGTATTGTTTTTTTGGTAAAACATCAGCCATCCATTTACCAAAAACATGAGATGCCAACAATACGAAGAATACGGAGTAAGTACCACCGTTTGAACGAAAGTAGTAAAACTGGGATATCGCTGCACCAAGAATCGTGAAAAACTATTATTATCATTATGATTTGATTAATTGAGATTTTAACAAATTTACTCTCAAAGAAAGTCGATCGATCAATCAATTACCGTACTAAGAACCCAAAAACGAAACGTTATTGGTTGTAGTGTTGGATCATCTTTTGTACTAACGGCCTGTATATATATATTTCACAACCAAATAAAATAAATGAAAATCAAAAAATCAAAAATCAAAAATCAAAAATCAAAAATCTAAATCAAAATCAAAATAACAATTACCGCAGCAACCATAGGAATTGGAGAGTTTTCGGGTGGATCGAGATCGCTTATGTCTGAACGAAAATTTTTTTCTTCCAAAAGAAGTTCATTATCATCAAAACCAATTACAGTATCATCTTCACCAATACTAAATCTATGATAATTACTATGATTTCTTATAATACCATTTAATATATCCTCTTCTACATATTCTGCTTCACTAGTTTTCTTTATTGATGATGATATTAATATATTTGGCGGTGATTCGACATCTTCTGTTGTAGTTATCGGTGAAACTTTTGAATATTTTTTCATTATATAATATAATTATCAAAAAAAAAAAATGGCAATGTAAAAAAAAAAGAAAAAAGAGAATATTTACAATATTTATCTAACACACTATTACTACTATGTTAAATGTCTATTTGTGTATTCTAACTACTCTTAAAATTACTATTGCTACAACAAATATTTTTATTTCTTTCTTGTTATAGTTTAATAACTTTGTCAAATTGTTCATTGCCACAATTTTTTGCGAAGCCTCTCTATAAAAAGAACATATCTTCTGATCACATGATCTAAAACTTTATAAAAATAATTGGGACTGATTGATCGGTTGATTGATCAATTCATCCATCATTCTTAACGCATTGAAAAAGGATTGATAATATTTTAATAAATTTTACATGATAAATAAATCAACATAATAATAAAGTCGTGTATTTATGCTCTGATGATCACGAAAATTATTTTGACCCAAAAATCTTTTTAATTGGTGAAACCAATAAACACGTACATACATAGAACAAGAGAAAAAGAGAACATTTTACAAAATACTATTGCGAAATATTCAATATATATATGTGTAGATAAAATTTGAAGTGCTAGTTTTTGTAAAATATATTTTTTTGAAATATAAAATATAAAATCGTGTTAATTAATAATAATTTGTACTACTACTAAAATTCTCATCATCATCATTATAATTAAATATATTGCAATGATGATCATTATGGATCAAAAATTCATATCAATTTTCAATCTGACAAGTTCACCTCTTTTTTTTATAGAACGAGGAGAAATATATTTCTTGTGGGAGGTATACTAAATTATAAATGGTATTACTATTATTAATTAATTAATAAATAAAAAATAATAAATGTGCACAAATAAAGACTTACCTCAGAATCTTTATCAGTTTGAAGGATGCATCTTGTGCACATCAAAGTTCCCCTATCAATATTCAAACATGCTTCTAATCTTTTTGGCAATCCAATAAATTTAGTTGTTGTTTTTTTAGGATGACCTTTATAAATCTTACCAACAACTTTGGCATATTCGTCGTGTTTAGGATGTCCACATGTTGGTAATGCTGAATCTCCTTTACGACGTGAATTATTATTACCATTGTTATTATCATCAGATTCAATGGATGAATATGGTCTTTTCTTCTTGCTGTTATTACTATAATTGCTACTAATTAATTTTTTAGATGATTTTTTATTATTGTTAGTGCTGGTGGTGCTATCAGTAGCATTTTTTTCAGTGCTATTGTTATTGTTGTCTTCTTCATTTATTGCAAGAGCATCAACATTTTTTGTAATCGTGGCTTGAGAAGAAAAAATAGACATTTTATCATCATTGAATAGACTGTCCTGACTATTATTACTAACAACACTAAAAGTTTTAAAATCACTTTCATCCAAAGCAGCAGAAGAAGAAGTCTGACTATCAATCATTGAAAACAGTATTCTGTTATTATTATCATTATTATTATTGTTATTGAAAATTTGACCAGATGATTGGATTGCTCCTTCTAAATATTCTGATCTAGCATCATTATTATTATATTGAGGACAAGAAGATGACAAATCATCGTTTTTAAGAGAGTTATAAATGGTAAAAGGACGAGAAGCTGGTGTATCATTATATTTATGTTTATAATTAGAATTAGAACTCCCAATGAAAATATCATCATCTGCTGATTGTTGTTGATGATGTCGTTGATTTTGTATTTGTTCCGATTTTGCATCATTTCCGTCATCTCTGTTATCATTGTTATCGTTATTGTCATAATTATTTATTGGTGCATCATTTGCAGTTGGCTCATAATGTGTGGGACTGTTTATTGGTGTTAAATCATCATCTTTATTTTTGTTATTATTATCGTTATAAATATTTATTGGTATTACATCATTTGTGGTTGATTCGTACAGTTCATATATGGGACTGTTTATAGGCGTCGCATCATTATCTTCGTTAATATCAGGCATATTTTTAATTGATGAAATCACTATTTACCATATGGGGTATGCTGCAGATAAAAGTGAACAAAGAAATTTCAGGGATCAAAACTGCAGTCAGGGGATATTATCATATATAGATAGAAGTATATACTAAATACGATAATGATCGGCTTAAAGAAAAAAGAATAAGAGGGAGCTTTATTAACTGGTTATATAACTTCCAAATTACAGAATTAAGCAACATGAGAATGCCATTAACATATAGCAATAAAACCAGCCAGACAAATTAACATTATATAATCATTAATAATGTTTCCGTTCATTAATCTCCTTCATTATCCGAAATACGCCAGATGACTTTTGGTAATGGACGGAAGTTTAAATGGTCATAAATATCTCGAATGGTCATAAATATTTCGTATTAGTATAGAAAATCGCTTTTATTTTTGATCAGAAACATCGAAATTGTACTACCAAATATCACGCTTAAGCATTTTTTAACTTTTTTTTCCAAATTATTGATAAACCAAATTAAGTAATTCGTGCATGTGAATACTTGTAAATTTAGATAAAACCATGTCTGAGTTACTATCAATAAAAAAATTTGTAAATTTGGGTCCAGAACTGGCTGTGAAAAGATCTTGGTTGATTCTGTTCTCCTATAGCCATTATTAGCTCTCATTTATTTGACAGTCTTTTTACAGAATATAATAATGGTATGTTTTCCGTAAAAACCGTGTGTATTCCGTGCGTGTTTCGTATTAGTATGCATTCTGTATCTACTCCGTATCTATCCCGCACAAATTCTGTACATTTCGGTGCATTTAACAGGAAGATGCCGTACATTTACGATGCATTTTTCCGTACCTATTCCGTAAAACAATATGGTTTTCCCGTATATTATTTTTTATAGGGAATTACGGCACTCACTATTAAAATCATAAGTGTAACATCCCTTTATGACATGTGTAACCGCTTTATGTCAGTGTCAAAATACTTTGGGCTGAATGTATAAATATAATAAATGACAAACATTACATGTAAAAATATATATGAAATTCTCTAAATCCGCAGGTACCAAAGAATATTTATTTTCTTTACTTAGTTAAAGGCAATAAAAAAATCATTTATATATTCTTTGATATGTTTTATCTGCACATTAAAAAAATTATGTATTGGAACAAAAGTATAGCACAACTTTTCATGCAAAGGCATTCGATTAGTCATTTTTATGTCAAACTTTATGACTCTCATTTATTCGTGGATCGTCAATTATTGCCGATTTTTCCCGTTTATGAATGATCTTAAATAATCACGAGACCAGTCTTTCCCTTTCTGAAAATCACGTAATCGCACAAGCAATTTGTTGCTGAGGAAATTGGTTTGGTGATTTTGATGGTAGAAAGTAGGAATTAATTATGGTGCTCACTATTAAAAACATAAGTGTAACATCCCCTTATGACAGTATCAAAATACTTTGGGCTGCATGTATAGTACAGGGACTAGGCAATTTTGTTATAAATAAAAAATTTTATGCAAACATGTCCAAATCATATATACAATTTCTTAAATAGGAATAAACACACTGACTGGTGGAAATTCTTGTTCCTATATAGTAAAAAAAAATGAATGAAGGTATTTTTTTCTTACACACAAAATAACTATTTTAAAAATATGTAGTAGTTTTACATCATAATTTAATATTTTGCTTTATAACAAAATAATATTTAGCTAAATTCTATAAAGGTAAATAAATAATTACAACACAAAATAAACATCATCTAATTAAATAATTTATTTTTTTATTTCATAGAGTGTAAGTATTATATTATAATTTAATTTTTACAACACAAAATAAACATCATCTAATTAAATAATTTGTTTTTTTATTTCTTTATAATAACCAGGATGTAAGTATTATATTATAAATCAAATTTTTACAAAATAAACTTTATTAACATCATCTAATAAATATTTCTTTATAACCAAATTGTAAATATTATATGATAACAATTAAATAAATTTATTTTTTTATTTCTTTATAATAACCAGGGCGTAAGTATTATACTGTATTATAAATCAACTTTTATAATTTTTATATCTAATTAATAAGTTTATTTTATAATAATAACTAGAGAGTAAGTATCATATTATAAAATCAACTTTTACAACATAGAATAATTTATTAAAACATCAATCAATAAATTTATTTTTCTTTAGTATGTAAGTAAATTTTTATAACATCATCTAATTAAATATTCTTTATTCTTCATAATAACCAGTTGGTAAATATTATATTATATTATAGAAAAACTTTTACAACACATTTCCTAATCAAATAAATTTATTTCTGCATTTATAATAACAATTGAAGGTAAAATTATTTATAAATTTACCTTTTATAACTTTTAAATGAATGTCTACTTATATATTATGTTGAAAAATAGTTCTATTTTATTTTAATTTTTTATAATGAAATAATAAGATAATACTAAGGGATTTAAAGAAAGAAAAGAAGAATATGGAACATGTTCTGTTTGTGCAAGATATAATACTAATTACCAGTGGTGCCAATCATGTGATCCCAAATTGTTGGCTCAAAGTTGGACTAGCAGTGGTAATGACAAATTAGATGAAATAATCAGAAATACACAGCTTGAAGCAAAAGGGTTTGAGAATTATCATTATCTTGAATGGATTCCTTATGACCAACTCACAGTTGGAGAAAAAGTAGGTGAAGGTGGTTTTGCAACTGTGTACAGGTGTTATTGGTTGAATGGTCCTAGATATGTTATTAATAATGAAAGATATTATCGTAGAGTTGGTTGTGTAGCATTAAAAAAAGTCAAAAACTCACAAAACATTTCTGAAGAGTTTTTAAAAGAGGTAAATAATTTGACATAATTAATTGACAAATAATAATGATTTTTAAATAACATTAATTTTTTATTAAATTTTCATAAAGCTTCAAAATCACATTAAATTTATAGGACCTTTTCATAAGGGTATTGTTAATATTTATGGCATTTCACAAGATCCAAATACAAAAGAATATGTTTTTGTAATGAGATATGCAGACAGAGGAGATTTTAAGAAATATTTAAAATTATGTTTTCCAAGATGGAATGAAAAAATTGAAATACTTCATAACATTATCTCAGGTTTAAATACACTTCATCAAGAAAAACTTACACATGGTGATCTTCACAGTGGTAATATTTTATGTTTTGGTAGTTTATACCCAGCAATGATTGCAGATTTAGGGTTATCAGGCCCAGCTGATCAAGGAACATCAAGTAAAAGTAAAAATGGTATATTTGGAGTACTGCCATATGTTGCACCAGAGGTATTAAATAAGAAACCTTGTACACAAAAATCTGACATCTATAGCTTTGGGATTTTAATGTCAGAATTATCAGCATGTCAACAACCATTCAAAGATCAACCACATGATCAAGATCTTGCTTTCAAGATCTGTGGTGGCTTAAGGCCTAGTTTTTCAGATAATACTCCAAAATGCTATATTAAGTTAGCATACAATTGCACAGATGCCAATCCTGAAAACAGACCAACAGCAGATGAAATTTTAAAAATTATTACTTTTTGGAGGGATGCAGTCAGTTATAAAAAAAGGAAAAGATCAAATGAAAATAATTTTGATGAATTAGAAAAAATGAGAAAGATATTTGATGAAGCAGATGAGAAACCTTTTAACCCTTTAACAATTACAGCAACTGTTCATCCGAATGCTGTTTATACAAGTAGATTATTGAATTTTACAAATCTTCCTCAACCTGTAAATTCCAACAAAATTACAATTATTAGTAACAATAATGGTAATCTAATTTATCATTATATATTTAATCTTAATTATTTACTATTAACAATATTTCAAATTATAAATAATTATAGAATCAAAACAAATTGAATTAACTATGCCAGATTCTAAACAAATTGAATTAACTATACCAGACAATTTATCTAATTTATGAATAAATTTTATTTATCTGATTATTGGAATTTTCACCTAGTCTCTTAGGAAGTGAACAAACACTTATTATTATCAAAAAATTTTTAATGATTAATCAAAATATTAACATGCTTTATATTTTATCTACCTATTTTAAATTAGAGTAAACCCTTCTTTGCAATTGAAGTGGCCTATCACTCTTATTATATAATTTTTATATTCAAGCATTTATATATATCATCTATAAACATAAAAATGTTTATAATAATAAAAAAACAAAAAAATTTTATTTCTGATAAATTTGCTCATTAATATATTTGCTAAGATATTTGTGAGATTGTGCTTGAATCAAAAATGATAATTTCTGATAATATGTACTGCAAGCGTGCAATCCAAGTTACCTATCACAATAGGTTATTTATGTTCAACACACAGCTAGGACTTTTGCCTACTGACTTATGGTTGATTCCCACTTATCCTAAAACCGCAGTTAGGATAATACTTGGCCTCAGTCAAGTTACTATCTTTCCTCAGAAAGATTAATTACTTCTTTTACCCTCAGG